GTATTTGGTGCTGGTCCGTAAGGTCTCTGAATAGGGTGTGTAACACTGGTTGGGCTGAAAATGGCATATTTGCTGTTCTATGAGCCCTAATGCAAGCCTGGTTAAAAGCCCCAGAATGAAACGACAGGTTTTCTTCCTTTTATGGTATGCTCATGAATATTTAGATGAGCTGTGAGCTGATTGGTTGGTTTACAACGAGTGAACCCGCTGAGCAAAGACGCATCATAGCAACAAGCACTCACTCACTGAAATATCGAAATTGTTGATATGGTAGGGTGATCAGACGTCCTAGCATTGCTATCCACAGCTTAGCAACGAATCATACTTTGTGATGGCCTTTGGTTGGAACAGCCCCTCGTTTCAGTACGAGAAGTTTAGCAAATCCTGCTTTGAATTGTCCAAGATTTTGAAAGCTGTCTTCGGTAAAATGCTTTGAGCAAATGAACAGCTGAGCATCAAACTTTGCAGGGATCTTCTTATAGACAAAAATAATCCGTACCTGTCGAGTCTTCGGATCCTTGGGAGGACTGAAAATTTCCCTTTTCTCCGCGCAGCCTGGAACATTGCATTTACGCCCGTGGCCCTGGCTCATTTTAAATAGAGAAACTGCCTGCTTTGTATTTCTGGTAGAAGTTAACCCAGCTGTAGGCTAAACAGCTAAACTGGTGTCTTACATCAACCTCTATTGATGTTCTTGGGCCATGAACCAGTGGGCTGGTCTGTATGTCAATTCTTAGGCGTGGCAAAAGTACAAAAGTAACAAATAAGGCAACATTCCCCAATTGACATCAACTCTGTGCTTCGTTGGAAGAGAAGGAGGTGCAGAGAAAGGAGGTGTCAATGGGGTTTGAACTTCTCTGTACGTCCATTTCATCCACTGAACTATTGTTATTCATCTATTACAATGTAAACTCGGTTTTGCATTCTATGACCGCTTTAAATTCAAATACAAGGTTAAAAGAATATATGAGTTCCAGCTTTTAGCTTCTTTGAGAGGGCTGGTCTTTTCTAACCTACACCATATTGTGATAGAGGTTCAATTAAGGTAAAAATAGGTGAATTCAGGATCTACAGACCTGGGTGTGGCAAGCTAATTTGGAAAGAAAAATATTGTTAATCACAGTTATTTCATGATTTAATAAGAAAGAAATAACTTCTTTGTAAAGAGGGGCAGGTGGATTTGGATAGCTTCTTTCATTTGATAAATGTTAGTCCTTTTGTCTGATACCATAACTTGCATATTAACCAAATGCACTTCCTGCACCACAAGGATGTGAACCTAGTTGTCCCATATTAATTAAAGACTTAAACTGATACACCAGTTCTTTCTTTTGACAAGTGAAATCAATATTTGAATAACATTTTTTTTATATTTACTAAGAAATATTTACAATTATTTGTCTAATTTTAAATTGGTAAAATGGTCTTAAAAATGTAATATTAAATCCCAACCCATGTACTTTTTTTTAAACAAGGGAGTTTCACTTATCTATCTGGCATGTCTTTGCAAACGGTCAATCACGGTCTTAGTATTATGTTACATGACTGAAGGGCAGCTTTGCAGATTGATTATGTTCATTGATTTTTCAAAGATCAAGCATTTAATTTCATCTGTTCGGGGAAACCATGCTTGTAGTTAGTGGTTTGGATTTCAACCCTTTTGTTCTAAATTATTAATGCGATGATTACTGGACACCATTAACTGGAAAAAAACAACTCTAGTTCAGAATTTCCAGTTCTCTATGACTACTTTTGATTTATATATATTTCATTGTTTAAGTACAGGAATATTTTTAGCTAATAGACAATATTTCTATTAAATTCTATAGGATTGGGTTGCCTGTCAGCTGGCTATAGGAAGGCTACTGCCCTTTCCTTATTCTTTAAAAAACAAATTTAGGTGTTCGAGACATTGTTGGTCCCAAAATCACAGAAATTAGGAAACAAAAAATGAAGAAACTAAAACTACAGCTTGTATATTACAAGCCGCTTCTCTGTTAACCAGCTGACCAGAACCAATTCTTGTTTGATTGTTTTTAATTTCCTTATCAATTTAATCTATATCTATATTAATTTATATATTCACTGGACATGCTATCCCTGATACAATACCATCAGGTCATACAGTCAGATTGGTAAATCAGTCATAAACAGGACATAAACATAGCTTGAAAATGAATTTTATGCAGAGTATTTTATATCATTTGATTAAATCAGCTGATATACAGCTAACTAACTTTCCATAATACCCCTGCAGCCCTGTAAATGCCAAAATGGTGCTAGTTAAACCATATTTTTATTTTTTATTTTATTTTTTTTAAATAATAATGAACAAATATATGAATAAAATTTGACTCTTTAGATTACAAAAAAGTGTTTAGACTCAGACAGGGTGTAATGATTTTGTAAATATTTGGATAAAAACATATAAAATGGTTTGTTAGAATCTAATGGATAAAAATGTGATGTGATGGTGAAGAAAATTGAAGGCTAAAAACATCAACAGATTCAGTCTTTAAATTGTAATTTCTCTTCTCATTATTGAAAACAACAGGAATAATGTAAAGTAATGCTTAATTGGTCATACATAATTGTTACTTTCAATTTGGAATGCAGCTCTTCCTTTAAAACTTATTTTGGAGAAACAGAGCAAGTGGTAATGGTGGAGACATCTAAAGGCTTTGTTTTTGCTAAAGGATACATGAAGATAATTGTCAAGTCAATAATTCATTAACTCAATTCAGATCTATCTTGAGTAATATGTGCATTATTTAACATTTGTCTTAATTTCAGGCAGGAATGGGGTCACTTTCGGTTAATGGATTTGTGATATCTAACCCATTAGATGAATTAGTTCTTCTCTAACTGCCGCTGAGGCAGTTACACAGCTTTACACAGCTTGAAGTTAAAATTCCTCCTCTTCTTCAGCTTCATAAACACACCAAAGCATATAATGATCACAATAAAGGTAACAAAGGTGATTTGTATGATCAGGCATAATACTGATAAGTTACACTGTCAAATTTCCATATTCCTAGTCACTGACTTTGATGGAATAGCATATTAGTGGTGCATCAGTTTTCCAATGATCTCCTAGTCAAGATTTTAGGGTTTCTCATATATTAGGTAATATAAATGTGATGTTAGGCTGCTCACTGCCTGTTTCATCATAATATACATTATTATTAATACTTATCCGTCTCTTTTAAACATTCATATAACAATACATTTTATTGTGAATATATTTTACAAAATCAAACTATATTCTCTAGAGAAAGCCACTTCTATTTAATAAAAAAAAAAAAAAAATAAAGATAGGCAGAAAGGAGCAACATTAACCAGAGGAGCCAATAGCCATTAGTAACTCTGGTGGAACTAGAAGCTTGTGTCGATATGACAATGACTAGTTTCCACTCCATAAATCAGGCATTTGTTGAAAGAACGTAAAAAAAAAAAAAAAAAAATCCAATATATTATTAATAATAAATCTGAAGCATTTAAAAGTGGGTGCTCTGGTCAAATGAGACCAAATTGAACCTTGTTTCCCTGTATGCCAGGAAGCATGAACCCTATATTATCTCGGACACACAATCTTAAGGAAAAACGTGGTAGCAGCAACATATGCTGTTTTGATATACAGGTACAGGAAAGCTGAAAGTAGTTATTAGGAAGATAGATTGAGCGGAATACAAAAAAAAAAACAAAAAAATCCTGAGAAAAACCTGCCAACGGCTGCAAAAAGACTTGGCAAGACAGCAGAATAACAACCCTACACATGCAGTCAGAACACAGATTGGATTAGATCAAAAGATATACATATTTGATACTCGAACTCTGGTCTTAAATACAAATAGAAATTGCAGAAACCTTTCAACTGATCCTTATAAATACTCTGCATCCAGGAAATTAAGCTTGAATGTTTTTTCTGTAAAAAAGAATCAGCAGAAATCTCAGTCTCAAGATTTGAAAAGCTGGTAGACATCACCCAAAAGAGTTACAGCTGTAAATGCAAAGTTACCACGAATTATCCTTCTTTCGCTTCACAATTTGTTTTCATTTGTGTTACACAATATTAAAGTTAAATACACTGAAATCTGTAGCTGCAATCTAAAAAAATAGCTAAGGTTCATAGCAAGTAGGGAAGTAATGTGAATCTTAATTAAGGTTTTTTTTTTTTTTTACTCTGTGGTTGAAATAAAGTTAGGTTCGTTGTAATTGTTGAGCAGAGCGGTTGTAATATGGTAAGTTCATTCAACCAGAAAAACAGCCAGAAACAGCAGGAGGAAGAGAAAAATAAAGATAAAAATTTTCCAACCAAAATGGTGACTGGCCAGTTCGGCAGATGCATTCCTCCAGCCAGAAAGCCCAATGATGTAGAGTGCCAAAGGGTTCTGCACATGTCACAAAGCTCTTCCTCTATCATTACCTCTGAATGCAGACAGATGGCTAATTGCTCCACTGTGAAACTAAATACGGGCTTGCCTAAGTGTACGCTCTCAGGTCCACCTTTGATGGCTGTGAACATGTATGACATTTAGAATTTACAAAAGCAAACTACCTTATTTTAATTCAGGGATTCAGTGCAAACAGTTTCCTGGAACTCAGACACATTGGAGTCCACGCTACAAGGATGATTATTTCACAACTAGCAGATAAATGCCATGTTCAGCATTAGCGCTATGAGAGTAAAAAAAAAAGAAAAAAACATGCAGACCTCTGATCATCACTTTCAGGGCTGGAACTGAAATATACTAAATTATTCTGCTTTGTGTACTGTGGGTCACAGTGGCAGATAAAAGCTTTTGTGGTGGATAATGGCCACTGAAAGCTACAGCCTGAAAACCAGACAGCAATAGAAAAAAAAAGTAGTTGTAAAATAGAGTGATAGACTTGTTGCAGTGATGTGATGTCTTATACTGATGCTGGTTTGAAATACCAGCGATACAAATGACTTAACACTTTAAACTGAGACCTTTTAGGAAGTAAATCCAGCCTCTTACCAGCTATGATGGGGGCCAAGCGGAAGATGTCTGAGAGACGGCTATTGACTGGTTCATATGGAGAGTATTCCAGTAAATCGTTACCTGCGGAAGAACACAGATTGTCAGCTTGAGTGCTTGAAATTGTGTATGTGTGTGTGGCTATTTTTTGTTAGCCTATGGGGATAATTCCCAGAGATACTACATTTTTGGGACTCATAGCTACTTGTGGTAAACATCGGCTTGTCAACTTCTCTTCCTGGGGTGGGGGTTGGAGTTAGGATTAAGGTGTGAAATGAGTTTAGGTTAGGTTTAGGGTTAGGTATGTGTTGCATGAATGTAAGGCCAGGCATACTCTGTACAAGTTCTTGCCCTTTTCAGGACGATTCTCCAGTCGTGCCAGAATCTTTTGGATTGGGCTAAGTTTCACCATTGTTGTGCATCCTGCTTCGTGTAGTATACAGGGGGGCGATTAGTCTCCCGCCTCCCGATCAGGAATCATAGGGTCGGGAGAAAATCAAACATATTTGAAATTCAGTCAGCCATCGTAAGGTGGGGGCGACAGTGGTGTTTACATGCAAACTGGAGGGTTGTCGGTTCAAGCTCTGGCTCCCACTTTCAGTGTTGTTCTGTCCTTGTGTAAGACACTTCAGCCGCATTGCCTACTGATGGTGGTCGAAGGGTCTGGTGCCACCAGTGTACGACAGCCTTGCTTCTGTCGGTGAGTCCCAGGGCAGCTGTGACTGCAATGTAGCTTACCCCCATCAGTGTGTGCATGAATGATTGAATGTAGTGTAAAGCACTTTGGTCAAGTCCTCTGACTTGAAAAATCGCTATATAAGTACAGGCCATTAAATTTTTTAAGGTGTTCGTGGGCAAATCACGCAGTTGAAGCAGAGCTACAAGCGTCTACGAGTCGCTTTACCTAAACCTCACGCACTGGAAATGTGCAAACATGCAAAGATTGACGAATCCGCCCAGCACCAATTCTCTGCGCTGAGTCTAATGTGTGTTTTTTTGGATATACAGTGTAAGCAGTTAAATTGTATAAGAGCATCGGGCCGTATAGAGAAAGAACATGCATCATGAGCTGCAAACTTTTAAACCTTGTGGTTTCGTCGTACAGTTTGAGCTGTACATGAGTACAATGAATTAAAATATTGTACAGTGTATGCCCGGCTTACGTCAACAGAAAGTCCCCACAAGGATAGTGTGACACAACTTGCGTGTATGTTCTTGTATTTGACACATTGTGGAGCCCAATTTTCAGAAAAATAGCATCATGTGGAGACCTACTTCTCCTTGTGGGGCCCGATGCCTGCCCTATGAAGGGAATTTCAGTTCAGGGGTCATGTTTTGGAACAAGGAGTGAAGTTGAGTTTAGGTTGAGGTAAGGGTTAGGTATAAACCCCCTCATAGCTATGTTTAGGGTAAGGCTCACAGTTAGGCAGTTGAAATTGGTTATAAATGAATGGAAGTCAATGGAAAGGTCCCACAAAGATAGAGAGATGTATCTCGTGTGTGTGTCATTTCAATGACATTAACAGACTCTCCTGTTACATCCACTTTGAGGGGATGTCCTTTATTTGGGACACTAAACTACAATCGTTACAGTTTCAACCAGGTACAAATTAAGTTGTTGATGCTTCATATTCAACAAAAATGAAATAACTTTTCTTTAATCCTTAAGTATGTCAAGAAAGTATTAAACAACATAATCTTTTTTTTTAGAAGAAATCTGTGAGTATTGAGAAAGCAATTCTGCTTCCTATCAGTGTAAATTAATATTGACTGGTTTTTCTAACAGATGGACTAAAATTAATTCTTATTTACAATAAATTGCATAAAAAGTATTTTATAATGGTTAAAATAGAAAAGAGCTTTCTAAAGAGCTTCTCAATCTTATTGATACCAAAAAAAAAAATGGCATTGGTTAAAAGAAGTATCTATAGGCTTCTAAAGGCACAATTTTGAAACTATACAGAAATGGAAATATCATTGTTTTACGACAACCCAACCATCAACAGGTGCTTTCTGCTGGAAATAGATGAATAATATTTATACAAAGTGGTTCAGTACTTATTCCCTAACTTTCACCTTTGTAAACCTGAGCTTAAACAGTGAACTAATTTGGTTGATCTTATTGTATCTCTGGATTTGAGTGAAGGTTGAAATGGCCAATACTACTTTTATCTTACCTTATGATCTAATATGACATTTTTGTCAGAGTAGGTATTGGTGTTTAATCTGATAAACCATAGACCATTTTCATAAATAACAGCTGTAAATTCAAAATAGGTATATTTAAATATTTTAGATGAAGGTAAGGAAGAGTTAATTGCAGTTATTAATCCTCGGAGTGAGGATATGTTGAGCCAAGGTGACACTTAGTAATACTTGAATATTTGCCACAAGTGAAACAAAATAAGAAAATCTGATCTAAAATCAAAAGATCAGAAGATGGATACATCTTTGTGCTGCTTAAGTGATTAATTTATTACTTCAACTTTATGTCTTATGCATCATTGTATATGAAAATTTTGTATTGTTATTTTTGTCTTAAAGAAAGAAATGAAATACAACTTGATAAAGAAATATTTTGATATGGTTGGATTGTACTTTTTATACATAACAGGCAGATAGCAACACTTGTTTTGTTTTCTCTTATTCCAGCACCCGTATGCAACATAACTCCTCGATGATGTCGGATGACGGCGATATGATTGAACAGCAACATATGAAGCAGCAGTTCCTGGAAAAAATACATTTGGGATAATGATACTTTATAACTGACCATCAGCCATAACTTGACTCATAATGTTAACATAACGTTGTGAGGCCACTGGCTTTGTCATGGAAAACATAACCTCATATGATGAAGTCATCAACAAGTTCATCTTGCAGAAACTGGGTCATTTCCAGTTCATCAGTATGATCTAACAGTTGATATTCCTATGGTTTTCAGAGTAGGTAGTTGTGTTATATCTGATTAAACATGCAGACAACGGCACTCCAAGGCTCTTATTATTTTAAAACCTTCTGCCAGAATATAAAAAAAATGATTCACCTATATTTATTCACATATAAAACTTTTTTTGCTGTTTAAAAAAAGCTCTTTTGGCTTCCAGTGGTACTGTTGCAGAATTGTATGTAATTTAAATAATATTTCTCTGATCTATTTACCCTTCTTAGCCAAAATCTGATGATATATGACTGTCAGATATAGTATAAAAGCTTAACCCTTTATAGGGCAAGTTATGGTTTTTAATCACTTGCCCCTTACAAATGGAGTCCCCCGTCCCTGAGTGAGGTCTAGAACCACAAGATCTACATCCAGCCATTCAGCAAAGATATTGCTACATGTCTTTACATCTTATTTTGGTGATGAGTCTTTAAATGATATATTACCTACTAAAAATGTTAACAAGTCAAGAAAAAAGGGTTAAAAAGCTGATTGAAAAGTTAAACGTGAAGTTAAAAAGTTAATAACGATCCTATTTAGGTTTATAAACTAAAAATGTGTTTCTTTAACTCTGAGTGTTTTTTAAAAAAAATGAACTTCTTATAGAAGTACTTTTATTTTTTCTTAATATATTCGGGCAAGTTGGCATTTCATGTTATTACATTTAAATACATTTTTGCCATCAAAATATCCATATTTTCATATTCAGGGTTTTTCATTTTATGTTATATATATATATATATATATATATATATATATATATATATATATATATATATATATATATATATATATATATATATATATATATATATATATATATATATATATATATATATAACATAATATATATATATATATATATATATATATATATATATATATATATATATATATATATATATATATATATATATATATATATATATATATATGCATGCATGCATGCGCTGAGCTCTTAATCTCACCTTGTAAACTCTGATATATGCTCCAAAAGATCCTGAGACAGTTCTTCTCCTTCTTCATGCCTCTCCTGCACCTGCAGTTGTACAGGGAGCTCTGCTTCATGGCTTCTATCGCGCTACGGCATTCGCCTTGAGCCTCGGGACCGGTGACCGCGCTGAAGTTGCTCTCCCTCCCCGCCACGCACTGCCTCATCATCCGGTACTTGGTGCTGCAGGAATACTCCTTCAGACATTGCTCGCTGGCCTTTACGCAGTCCAGGCGCGCTGAACGGGGAGCTGAGCCACCGTCACCTTTCAAGGTGAACAGACAATCTGAGGGTCATAAAAACTCAGTGAGATCTTTAAATTATTCGGAAACAATTGCGCACTTTACGCACACAGACGCTGCCAAAAAAATGCGATATTACCAAAATTATGCAGTAAAGCGCTTTAAACTTTAGCCTATAATACCACAGTAAAAATGATCTCCACCCTTAAAAAACAAGTTAAATCAAAGAGCACCAGGTGACATTTTTATTTGAAAACTATCTAAACACAAAGGGAGACAAAAATGCACTTACCAAACACGGAAAAGATAAATACCAAAGTTAAAATCATTTTTGAAATTTTTTCCACCATTTATCAACTGTTGCAGGGATTAAAACAGCCTGTCAGAAGAACTTATCAGAGTGATCCGATCTCCGTCTGGAAGCAGATCAGGAAAGCTGAGGTAGTGAAACATTCTCTAGATCCGACAGTGACAATCCAAACTGTGGAATGGAAAAAATTAAATAAAAATAAACCGTCTTAAGTATCCGTAGTTTTTATCCTGAAAGACCATCAGAAAAAGTAACACAAGTCATGAATCAGTGCTGACTGACTGTTTCTCGCTGTTGAACAGTCTGCTGAGTCTGAGCAGCCGATGCGCGCTGCTTCAGTTGCGCATGAGGACCAACTTAATAAAACAGCAAAAATATTCAGTGGCAGCAAACTTCAGTCACTCAATCAGTAGAATTTTATGAATTGATTTATCCACCATTGCGTTTAGATTATATCCCACCATCTGAAAATACAATCCTTCCACACATAGCAGGTGAAAAGAAAGTAATAACCTTGTTGAATCCGGACCGTCCTCCACTCTGAGGGAAAGCTGAACTGAAGACGTCGAGATGCGCATATCATAGGCTGCGTGACGTCATGTGTCTTTTCACAAAATGACCGTCATAAATCAGGACTTCTAACCTAGAAAGTCATAGATACGTTTGCTTATTTCAGTAAACTAAAAAAGTTAAAACTTTTGACATTATATATTTTTATTTTATGGTCATTAGTTTATTCCAGTTTTGGCTTCAATTCAATTCACTTTATTTCTATAGCGCCAATTCAAAACACATGTCATCTCAAGGCACTTTAAGTTCAACTAGATCATTCAGTCAAATTGATTCAAAGTTTTCTATTTAAGGAAAACCAGTTGATTGCAGCATGCTTGTAGCGACAGTGGAGAAGAAAAACTCCCTTTTAACAGGAAGAATTCTCCAGCAGAACCAGGCTCAGTGTGAGCGGCCATCTGCCGAGGTTGACTGGGGTTCAAGGAGACAGAAGCAGACATACAAAAAGCAGCTGTAAAAGGCGACCCTGTCCAGCAAACACACAGCCAGGCAGACGAGCACCGAGCCAGCTCCCATGTCAGAGGATGAAGAGAGCACATCCACTCAGTCACGGTCAGAGAAACAGGACCACACTGGAAAACAGGCTGATCTCCAGCATCTATAAACAAGGGTGTTGATGGAAGCAGCACAGCTGATATTTCTTTCCAGGATGGCGTCACAGCCAAACAGGAACAGACGAGGCAAAGCTACTGTGAGAAAAAGCAGAGAGAGCATAACGTTAGAGATTGAACTAACAGATTGTGCAGATTGGGAGAATAGAGGTAGAATGAAGCAGAATGATGAAATAGGGGTGCCTATGTCCTCCAGAAGTCTAAGCCTATAGCAGCATAACCATAGAGATAGCTCAGGTTATCCTTAAACCTGAAGTGCTCTTTTATGAACATAAGGAACAATCAGATCTCTGATATAAGATGGAGCTTGGCCATTTAAGGCTTTATATGTGAGAAGGAGGATTTAAAATTCTATTCAAGCCCTGTTGTGTTCCCTAGTTACTTTTTGTTGCCCCCTAGCTCCTCTCTTTTCCCCTTAGCTCCCTTCTAGCTGCTTCTGTCCACACACCTGCTTCCAATTAGCTGATTACTCCATTCATTGCGCTTTCTGCTATATATACTGCTCCCCTGCAGTTACTTGTGGCTAGATTATCTTTGTTCTTCCTGTATGTTTCTCCTGAGTCTCTCCTTGTTTTGGTCCCTGGGTTCCCTTCCTTTTATTCCTTGATTTATGTTTCTGTTATCTCTGTGTCGGTAGTCCGTGGTCTTGGTGGATAAAGTTTTGATTACTAGTTTCAATCACTGGATGCCTCCATGTTCAGTTTGATGTTTTAAAGCAAATGTTTGATACTGGTGTATTCTTTTGAGGGAAACAAAAAATGCATTCCGTCCGTCCGTCCGTCCGTCCATCCATCCATCCATCCTTGATTTAAGCAGCTATACGGTTCATTGAACAGTAAAGACTTTTTGTCTGAAGTTAAATCCCCAACTCTTCTTAATTGTTTAATAAACTGCAATTAAAGAGGGTGTTATTACAAGAAAATTAAAATTACGTCCTTGTTTGCCAATTTCTATGTTATTGTCAAACTCACTGACATAAATCTCGGTACCTCTAAGCACCAATTAATACTTATTCATTTTAATTTGTGATAGTCCAGACTGGAGGTTTGGAAACTTTTTATCTTCTGACCCAAAAAATAGTACCCAAACTAATGGTTGAGTATACAATCATTTCAGCAAAATGAAATAATCATGGTTGAGGTAATATTTCTTTCTTTCTTTTTAGTTTTTAAAGTACTTATGGCTTGTTTTCTCAACAGTAGGCTGACAGGAAAGGGGGTTTGAGAGAGGGGGAGAGACATGCAGCACAGGACCACAGGTTAGATTCGAACCAGGGTCAGCTGCATCAAGGACTCAGGCCTCCTTACATGTGTTGTGCGTGCTAGCCACTGTGCCACCTGCACACCCCCTGGTTGAGGTAACATGAAAGAAAGACTCAAAAACCAAAGCAGTTAATTTAGTCTATATTCAACAGATGCTTTTATATGTTGAAGCAGTTAAGCATAAATGTTTATTGCTTAGTCTAATTTTTGTATTGGATTTGAAGACCCAGTCAAGGACCCCAAGTGGGGTCATGACCCCACCTTTTGTAATAAATGGTCTACCATTGGATAGCTCATTGTTACAGCATTTTTATTGCTTGTGAGTAATTTTAAGCCAATCAATTCTACCCTGGAAAACAAAATGTTTAGATAGAGAAAGACGGAGAGGAAAAAAAATACTGTCTCTTTATCTAAAATTGAAAATAAATTGTGATAGCAGGAAGAACTTTTCCTATTAAAGTTTGCTCTTCTACGTTAAGAAAACAGGAATCTTATTTACAGGGTCTTTGCAAAGCAAGAAAATTGAGGAGGTTCATTCTACCATCTGAAATACACACACTCTTACACTTCTGATTGATGTTTGCAAATTACACAAATAGGGTTGTCATAGTTAATATGAACGGGAATTGTTTTTTTGTTTTTTTTTTGTTTTTTTTTACCTCTAAGTTAAAAAGTTGCTTTTTGCAGCCAAAGGTTTTGTTTGATGAGTCATCAATGACCAGTGGTCGCTCCTAACTGACTCCATTCAGAGCAACATGGCCAGAAAGTGTTTTCTTACTGTGAGAAAATGGTAGTTAATGAGATTTAAGTTAGCCTTTGTTTATACCTACCATTTCAATTTAATGGCATCAAAAAAAAAAAAAAAATGTAGATTAAGGTTATAATTAATGTTTTCTAGTTTAAAACATTAAAAATCTAAACTAGATAATCTGAAAACACTTTATTTGGCACATCTTGCACCGTCACACAGAAACATATAACCATGCTTTGAGAGTATCTGGGGTTTTCCTGTTTTTCTTGTGTGAGCGACTTTCCTGTTACAGTGATGATCTTTGCTTGTGGCTGAGTTGACCGGTGTTGTTGCATACCTGAGAACATTTCCATTCAAGATTATTAGTGTTTATATAAGCAGGTGAAGGGTCATCTCTCTTCACTGGATTACTACCCCTGATGTATTGAAGCAAAAAACCCAACCAAAGGAATATCTTTCTTGTTGAATCTGTCTTCTTGTGAATCTCTTTTAATGTAGACTGTTGTTCCAGACAACCAGTGAACCTCAGTCTCTGATCTTCATGGATCTTCTTGCCTGTGTGCTTCAGTTCTCAGTCTTCATCAGCTGCCTGGCCGCTCTCCAGCACAACATCTCTTGCAAGTACCAACACTCTCAGATCTCACTCACATTCTCCAGGACCTCTGTGGTACACTCTGCTAAGCCCACTAAATCAAATATTTACAGATCCAAGCTACCTCCCCTTCATCTCTCAAGTAGCAAATCAATCAGTCATCAGTTGTCACCAACCAACTTGCTCTTTATCAGTCAGCTTTCTCCCCTCAGACCAACCAGAAAGTTAACTGACTTCATGCAGTCCCTGCTTCAAGATTCGTGTTTGCTTTTTATAGATAAAATGCTCAAATTCACAGGTTCTGTGGGATTCTGCATGTAGGTCAAATAACTATAAACCAACATAACACATGCACAAACACACTTCTATTTAAGGACAATTTAGAGAAGTCAGTTAACCTGAAAGTCATGTTTTTTGGCTGTAGGAGGAAACTGAGGTACCCAGAGAGAACCCACAGATGCACAAGTAGAACATGCAAACTTCATGGAGAAAGACCCAGGGCCGAGAATCAAACCCAGAACCTTCTTGCAAGTCAATCTGTTCAGCTGTGCAGCCATGCAACCTTATTCTTAAAAAAAACAAATTATCAACAAAACACTTATTTAATCCATTAAACTGCTTAAAAAGACATTCCAAAATTATGCAATAAGAATTTGCGTTTTATCTTTGATTGTGTTTTCCCTGACAGCTGCAAAGCTTAAAGTTTTTGCAACAACAAAATGTAATTAAGGATGACTTTTATCGCTGTTTTGTTAAGTAAAAGCTCTAATTCCTAACAAAAAGTCTATTGATACTAATATTCATCCATCAGCTACATGGTCACCTTTTCAAACACCAATTCTTTCTGAAACCAAAACATCTAAACACAGATATCTGTTCAGTTGATATGAAATGTTTTCATTAAATTTGAGCATGGTGACTTATCTTGAATCATATGAATACAGGATAACAAATAGACCGGCTCACATTATTAAATTTATGGGGTTGTCTTATTCATCAGCTGGAAGTGTCCATCAGATTGCTTTCCACTAGATGTAAGTCAAGGGCCGTTTCCTGCCTTAAGTAAAAGGTAGACATTTACAATATTGATTTGTTTATTTATGACATTAAAGTGCACAGATCATGACTTCTCTGCAGTCCTATAGTTATATTATGGCAAGGGAAATGTCAACACTCATCATTCAACAGCTTTGGGACTTCCTAGCAGAATCTATGTGTTGTTACACATAGGAGGATTTCTCCTTCACAATAATGCAGAATATTAGATGGTCTTTGAAAATGCATTGAGCTATTAAAGCAAAAGGCTAATATCTAAGGCCAGAGCAGGATCTAGCTAATTGCTTAAACAACACATCAAGTGCTAAAAATATGCTTTATATAATGCATACTGTATATTATATTGGATAACCAAAGATAACGATATTTGTTACCCCATATGAAATACTCCAATAAAATGATTTAGACATTTTTTTGGATTTGTCATTCTAATTCATGTATTTGTTTGAGATTTAGGTAACTCCACAGTATCAAACAGTAGCGTCAAAAAAAAAATAGATTCATTACCATTAATTTAAAGTGTTGGAGGTAAGTAAGCCATTAGATCTTAAGCTTCCGACGAAGAACCCAATATCTTATTTCCTCCTTATAATACATCATTCCAAAACAAATGGAAAATCTATACTGAATCAGAAACAGGAAGAAACGTTTCCTCTGGGGTCCTTTGCTCATCCAGTGGAGGTTTCTTCATTACTTGCAAAAGTTCT